ACCCATTCTAGCCATCTCCAAGCATTATTTGTCTCAAAGTGGGTTCCTCATCATCGAATATAAAATATAAAGTTTTTTCTAAAAAACATATGATAATTGTATGGAGGTTAGAGAGATTTTGCGTGTGGAATTTAAAATGTTTCTGATGCATAAAAGTGTTTTTATTTTATAATAAAAATTACATTGCATGATGGTTAGTCAACATTCAAAAAGGAAAATGCATGAGCAAATCATTAATTAAAAAATCTTAAGAATTAATTTAAAAAATATGATATTTTGTGTACAAAAGCCTAGTAATGTTTACTGATAATCTACAAAATTTTGTGAAGATATGCTTACATTTTAAAAAGTTACAGCATAACTGCTTTATGATCATTTTGATGGATAACATAGTCAAAGATGTGAGTACTTTAACCATTAGGTTATTGTATAACTAACCTGTTAATGTGTGTAAGTACTTGACCATTTTGTTATAGTCTTTACCATGTATTTACTCCTGCTTCAAGTGGTATAACTGGTTCAGAATGGTCACCCCCCCCCCCCACCCCCTGTATAGGATGCCAGTCCATTGCAGGATAACCTTCAAGTAACAGTTGATACCCATCATATATCTGGGTACACTGGAACAAGTGTGGTCCAGTGTCTTGCTCAAGGACATGATAGCCTCAAAATCACAATCATCTGACTTCGAGTCCAAAGTGTGAAACCACTGAAGCACACTTTTTTATTCCTGTTGCTTCAAAGAACATACCAGACCTTTAGAATGTATTTTCAAACTTAATGTTGTGACCACCTTAATCCTCGAGTTATGGCACAACAATCCTTTTAATTTCTTCACATTTTAGCTATTTATTTGCATTTTTCAGTTTATAGGTATAAATTGGCAATGAAGTTTTCTAATGTAGTTCTGATATTATGTAGAAACCATAAATTCTCACAAGCAAATTTAAAAATGTATATATTTTCTCAATAAGAAGACATGACATTGAATCATTAAAGATATGTTGAGTAATTTTATCATAGTAGCTGTGATTTTTCCCTGCATTATTCTTTTAGAAGCAGAACTTAATGAACCCTTCTTTTGTTTTCTAGCTCCTTCCCGTGACCTTGATCATCCAAGACTGTGGGAAGATGATGTGTTTGATAATGTTTTTGGTTACAGGTCCTCAGTAGGAAGATCAGTTGGAACAACACCTACATATAATGGTAAGGATAAAAAAGATATCTAGTAAAAATGTTGAAAGAGTGAAATACTAGGATATATGACACTCTTATAGTGCTGTTATTTCTGTATATTTAAATTTGAATGGATGTGTATCTATGTATAAAAATGAAAAGCAATGTAAACAACAGAAATGAGATTACAGAGATATATAAAGTTAGTTGACCTTTTATCTGGAGCATTACGTCACACATCATCAGTCAATAATTCAATGTTAACCCAGGTATCATCAGTTGATAGTTCACTTGGAAAGTTAACCCAGCTATCATTGGTAAATGTTTTACCTGGAATTCTAAACCAGGTATTATTAGTCAATATTTCACATGGAATGTTAACCCAGACACCATCAGTTAATGATTCATCTGGAGTACTAACATATGTATCATCAGTTGATATTTCATTTGGAGTTTTAACAACGTTATCATCAAATCATATTTTGTCTCTAATGTTAATCCATATATCATTAGTTAATGTTTCATCTGGAGTTTTAATCCAGTTATCACCAGTTAACGTTTAACCAGGGATGTTAATGCAGGAATCATCAGTTTATGTTAAACCTGAAATGTTAACCTGGGTATCATCAGTTAATGTTTCATCTGGGATGTTAATGCAGGAATCATCATTTTATGTTAAACTTGGAATGTTAAGTCTGAAATGTTAACCCAGATATTATGCATTAATGTCTCATCCAGAGTGCTAATTCATGCATCCTCAGTTAATGTTTCACTTGGAATGTTAACCGAGCTATCGTAAGTTAATGTTTCACCTGGAATTTTATCTCAAATATCATAAGTTAATATTTCATCTGGAATGATAAACCAGGTATCATTAGTGTATGGTTCACCTGGAATGTTAACTGAAGTCTCAGTCAACATTTCACATAGGATGCTAATCCAAGTATCATCAGTTTGTAATTCATCTAGACTACTAACACATATATCATCACTTAACATTTCATCTGGAATGTTATCCTAGATATAATGATTTGATATTTCACCTGGAGTGTTAACCCAAATGTCATCAGTTAATGTTTCACCTGGAATGTTTACCTAGGTATAATCAGTTCACCTTTCATCTGGAGTTTTAACCCTGGTATCATCAGTTACTGTCTGAGCTGAAATATTAACCTAGGTATATCAGTTAGTGTTTTACATGGATTGTTAACCCTGATATCAACTGCTAATGTTTTGCCTAGAATGTTAACCCAGGTATCAATAGTTAATATTTTATACAGAGTGTTAACTCAGGTATCATCATTAAATATTTTGCCTGGAGTTTTTAATTCCAGTTATCACCAGTTCACCTGAAATGTTAATGCAGGAATCATCAGTTACAGTTTCAGCAGAAATATTAATTCAGATATCATCAGTTCACCTTTCATCTGGAGTTTTAACCCAGTTATCATCAGTTAATGTTTTTCCTGTAATGTTAACCTAGTCTGCTAAGGGGTTCTTCTCTTTGATCAAGGCTTGCATGCCAACATATTTGCTTCTCATATTAGATGCATTGTTTTAACATTATCCATGGCAATCTTGAATTCTTATATCATTTTTTTGAAGGAAATTAATGAGAACTGTAACAAGTTCTGCTCCTGTGTGATTAATTATCAGTAAGAATGTGGCAAATCTCTCTACAGGACCTTTTCTCTTATTTGAGCATTTTTGAATGTGTTCAGCAAGAAATGTATCATACTCAGCTAATAGCTCTAATATTCTTAAGTAATTGCCTTTATGCACTGAACCAACTACTTCATCGATTCCTCTGATTGCTAGCCCTCAGGATGATAGAAACTTTATGACTGAGAGAATACACTGTAGAACTTGGTACCAGTATTTTTTCTCTGCCTCTATCTGCCATATTAAAGTATTGTCAATTCATCTGCTTTTGGTTTTATGAATAACAAATTTTGTGACAGAACTGTGATGCAGCGAGTTTGTTTTGTGCTGCCTAAAGTCCTTTGCAGTATGTTTCCAATCATAGTAACTAACTGTTGCTAGTGAAGAAGATTCCATTGCTGTTGAACCAATTTGCATATAACAAATTTGATGATGAGTAGCAAAACCAGTCTCTTTTAACATTTTCTCCATTCAGTTGCTCCCAATAAAAAAGAATCTTTGAGCATTGGCATTTATACTTGTCACCTGGAATTCATTTGGTAGATGCACTGAAATCCATATCCATGTACTGTCAAAAGGTAATGTCTGACACACACACAAACAAAAATATCTCATTTCTTCAAAAACTTGTGTCCATGTCCCAATGTTGAATGTAAAGGATGGATTAGTATCTTCATTGCCATTGCAATAATTGATTTCTTTCTATTATTAGGTACTTGATTCAATTTGACAGTCATCAGTATTGATAGTTTTAGTCTCTACATGATTGTTTTCACATTCTTGTTTCTGGCACTTTCTGATTGAAGGCAAGGGCTCAATTTGATATGATGAGGGTAACAGTCATCAGCATCTAGATATTTAGTTTCTACATTGTTATTCCAATTTCTTGGCTGGCAAAAGTTTTGGCACTAGAGGGTGAAGCTGATAAATCAGTTAGCTTCCTAGATTTAGTTACTACTTTTTCTAATTTTTTCTTCATCTCGCTTTGACTTTTAGCTTTTCCCAACCACTTGTGTTTTCACTCCTGTATAATAAATGAGATGAATACTTAATGAATAATATCTGTGTACATATATAAGTGTACTTTTGTATGTATGTGTTTGAATGCTTGTGTTAGTGTGTGTGTGTGAGAGAGAGAAAGATGCCAGAATGGCTACCTAATACTTTTGTAACAAGTGATCACATATTATTTACTCTTCTTAACTCAAAAATTTAAATTTTGTACTTGGATGACTTGTATTCTACACCCTCCGATTAATGATGCTTGTCAAGTTGTCAATGAATTATTTACAGCTGATAATGGGCCAATGTAGGCTCACAAGTAATTATGGATTTTTATAGGATAATAATTTGTAAATTCTGTTCAAGGAACACAAACAATTGATACAGTATATTCTAAAAGCATAAAATACTGTTACTTACCTTGTTAGCAATGATTCATCTTTTTTTTTTGGAACAAAATCTGAAGCCTTTGGGAATGTATAATTGCAAGATATAGATATCTTCAATGTAGCCTAGTAACTTAGGTATAGTCATATTTTATGACTACTGCTTGATCAAATGAAAAGAAACAGCATATCAGGCATAAGCTGTGAGTGAGGAGCCTGGCTGACAGCATCATGAAAATCTAGAGTGAAGAGATTTTGATTGGTTAAGGCTTATCATTTGATTATTGTGCATAGGTCTAACCTTGCTTAGACCTAGCACATTTGCATTGCAAATTGTATGCAAATGTGCTAGGTCAGAAAGGGGCTATACTTAATCACAAGCCAATCAAATCTCTGCACTCTACATCGCACGATAGGCCTACCCACATCACATACAAGTTCTGTCTCTCACTTTCTTTTTTTTCCCTCTTCAAAAATAACTAGACTCAGTTGAATGATTTTTATTAAGCATTTTCCTAAAAAAAATGAAGATGGGTCTATTTATATAACAAGACTTTTTTTAAACCTGGGCCTAATAGCTCCCGCCTTAATCTGTCTATGTATGTAGGGATGGATGCTGGTGGCACAACTTAACTTGTAACTTTGTCAATTCATCATTTTCTGTTTCAACTCTTAATTAAGTTGATGGAATAATTGCACAAAATAAAAGCCCAATTAGGCTTCATATGTGTGAAGTTCTTTTATTTTATCAGTTACATTATTTTGAACTTAACAATTAAAATTTATGCTACTTTTACTTTTGGAAGTTTAAATTAACCAGTAAATATCTGAAATAAAAAATATTTTCTATACATACTGTTTTATTTTTAAGTGTAAGTTGAAAGTTTAATGTTTGGAGTTTTATTTTTAGTTATGTCATCCTTGCGTACAACACCCAGACCAGGTTATGGGCTTACGTCAAAGTCTTTTACCCTACCAGTTGGAAAACAAGGGTTTATGGTAAGATGAATTGTATGTCAGTGTTGCGGCAACTGTCTTTCTATTCACTAAGTAGTGTCATACATTCACCTGCCTTCTTGTGTTATGGACAAACTGCTTTTGATCTACTCATAAAAAAAATCCTACAGGTAAAGGTGTATTGCCTAAGGCAAAGATCTTCAGGTTTTATAAACACATATTCATTTATTTCCTTGCTTTGTAATATGCTTTAATTATTGCTTAAATATTTATGAAAAGTGAAATATAGCAATATGGAATTAAAATAAAAGCATAACTTTTGAAGTTAGCCTTTCTTTTGTATATGATACACAAATCTAAAATATAATAATTATTCTATGATGTTAAATAGTTAAGAAGCTGAGCAATCAGTGTGTACTCCTTCTTTGGAGGCTTGAGATATATTTGACTGTTGATTTGCTTATAGATATACAAAAATACACATTGGTTATTTTTACATAAAATAATTCTTACTGTTGATCTGATTGAAGAAAAAATGGATTCAAATAAGATTTTTGTGGCTAATCTTGTTTATTTTGCTGCATTAAAAATATATCAATTTATTGAAAGATGATATGCTAGTACTATTTAGTGGGGAGAATCTTTACTAATATTTCAACATGTATGTCATCTATAATTGTATATCACGTATAATACTTCAAATCTATTAAAACACTATAAGTAGGTTTAAAATTTTTGTTAATTAACAATTTCATAGTTTCAGCATTTGAAAATGCTCTTATCTGCTGAATCCCTGGAAATTTAGAGATTTATATTTTCATTTTCATTTTTTCTTTTTCAAACATCTAAAATGAAGTTAAGATCCACTTTCACGTAACCTCTTTAGTTCAGCATTTTCCTATGAAAGAATTAGATACACAGCTTATTTTAAAGCAAAAGTTTCAAGTTGCTCTAGGCCGTAAGACCTCAGAAAGGGGTTCAGCTTAAAGTGACCTTCAGAGGTTTTAGAGTTTGCAGATACATAATTTCTAGTTTTATGTGTTACTTTGGCAGATCTGCAGTTGATTTGATGATCAAGAATTTGCATGTATAGCAAAATAACATTATTTTTTGAATATTATTAATGCCCCTTTTATGTTTCCCAATTATTTTATGTTGAAATTCTTCCCATTTCTCTAACAAAAACCTTTACACAGAATGTAGACACTCTTTTCCTTATCTTGAGATGTGGAATTATTTTAGGGTAAGATATTTTTAATGGTGTTGGGATATTTATAAGGAATTTTAAATTTGTTATGTTAGGGACATTTTTCTAAAGCCACAATACTAGAACTGTAGTTGATGCTAAGTATTTTATTTTCATTTTAATATGTATTGATATGACTGGCTGTTAATCTTTAAAAAGTCTTCCTTCTTTTATATATGCATTTATGACAAAAAACCTGTAGGATACTGTAACTGTTCAAAAATTCTATAAACATTTTAAATGTCTTCATCAAGGATTGTATGGTGATAAATTCTATAAGCTCTTAAAAACATTGATATTTTAATTGTTTTATGGTAGCACAAGAAAATATTATCTTACCTTAAAGCGTGTGTTTATTTTCTATAGATAGAAAGAAAGAACAGATTATGTTTCTGCTCTAATTGTGAGAATATATAAAAATGGGAGTGAATTATTGGTTTTCCCATTTAACTTTAAACTTAATAGTACTGTGAAGTTTGTTGATCTTCTGGAGAAAAGGCTGAAGATTCATTTCTATTTTTTGTCCAAACAGAAAATGTATCATCAGTGTATCTGTTTCATTGTTATACATCTGTATTTGTATTTCTTCAGTGTATAAAGTGTTTTGAGATTATTATCAATTGAGCTAATTTGGCATTAGAGTTTTTCTCAGATCTGCCAAATGGAGCAACTTTCTTTTGAAATACTCTGTAACAGTGTTACATAGAATTGTAGATAAAGGATTGCCCATAGGCATTCCATACTTTTGTCTGTAACACTGAATGCATGTGAATACATTATCTTAAACACACTTCCACTTGTGTAATTCTTTCATAAGCAAATTCTGGACTGAATTTGTTTCCATATACACTTGTGTTCCATAATAGTGGATCTTGACTTGATCTAAACCCATTTTCAAGACATGGTGCTTTATCACACATTTATAGTCAGGTGACATTGAAATCTTTGATAAATAGATTGTAGGGAACATTGAGGAGTTTCTGTAGATTTTTATTCAACAAACATTTTTTTGGCATACATGTGTTGTTGTTTTGTAAAGTTCTAAAGAAAATCAATTGCCAGATGATAGAAAATCAAACAAATATGTTTGTAGTTACAGAATGGAGTTAAAAAAACAAAGATGATTACACATTTCATAAATACTTCATTTATTAAAGACCGTGGTTTCATCAGTGAAAGTATCATCAGATAGACACTGAAATGGTTTGTAAACAGATTTATATATATGTTTAACCAAAGAACCAGAAGTAACCTTGACATTAACCCTGAGACAAGTGGGGAGGAGCTTAAGTTGGTTTGGTCATTTAAAGCTTTTTCTGGGTTTGTTTTGAGACTTCTATTTATTTTTAAAATTTCCAAGTTATTTAGTTTTTTTTTTCATTTTTCACAGATATGTAAAATTTTGTAGTATTTTCTGGATCAAATTGGTGTTTAGTGTCAGTAAGGTGGGATGCAAGGATTGAATCCATTCTCCTTAATTTCCAGAATGTTCTTTAATTCTTCTTTCTATGGAATCTTCTGTTTGACCTATGCATACACTATTGCAGTCTTGACACATTAATTGGTGAACACCCCAACTGCTGTACTTTACAATTTTGTCTTTGTTGTTGCACAAAGTTTTCCTTAGATTGTTTGTACAATAGAAAGCCGGCCTGTAAATTTCTTTCTTCAACATTTTATATATCTTGTGAGAAGGTTTTCCAGTGTAGCTTTTTGTCTTTGTTATCATTTGGTACAGTATGTAGATATATTGATTTTAGTTTATGGCTTTTAATTTTTTAAACAATAATGTGTCAATTAACTTTGTTGTATAACCAATATTGACAACATTTTGTTTTATAGTTTTTAATTCAGTTTCATAAACTTTAGATGACAAGGGTACAGTGATAAGCCTGTGTAACAAACTATGGAACACGGCTAGTTTGTGAAATATTGGATGTCTTGAAGAAGCATGTATGAAGGTGTCACTATAAGTTGGTTTTCTGAAAACTTTGAAGGAATGTATGCTGTTATTTATGTCAATATTTAAGTCCAAAAAATTTAAGAGTTACAAAATTATCAAGTTGATATTTGGAGCCTGTAGTTATAACATTTGGTCTGTTTTATTGTTATACATTTGTATTTATTGTTGGTCACTATATAAAAAGTTTTGAGTTTATTATGACTTAAGCTAAAGGAGCATTAGATTTTCTCATTTAGTGGTTTTGTATAGCAGTTGTCAAAGAATCTAAATATTTGTAGTTGAAACTGTAATAGAAATACAACTACAGCTCTTCATATATTTATTTTATTTGCACATATCAGTGCTTAGAGGGTATTAACTGCCAATTAACACAATTCTTACTACCCTAAGGGTACTCCAGGTGTAAAGAGTATTACCAACCTGTATTTGGACTATTCACTATTGATGGGGTCCACATATTGCAATAAATTGAGTAATTTTTCATTTTTGTTTGTTACAGCACTCAGTATAAAGAACAGAGCAAATACATTGGGTGAATTCTCTCATTTTTTATGTAAAATACAAAAGGAGACTCCGGCAGTAATTTGGGATTAATTGCAATATTAATTTCTGTTTATTTATTTTTTCGTAAGAGAAATAGCATGTTGAAATTTACTTTTCTTCTTACTTAATTGTCATTGGTCAATTTGTGTGTTAAATTTAAACTTTGTAGAGGGTAGCAATATGATATGCAATTTGCATTGGAAAAAAAGCATGCATGAGAACAAAGTGACATAATCTGAAAAAAACAAGATGTTTGCCTCATCAGTATGTTCACAAAAAATATGTTCATGTTCACTATATAACTCAGTATTCAAGAAACTTGCATTCTAGCACAACACAAATATTTAATCCATGTGTCTTAGGTGAGCCATTTGCTCTTTATGACTTTACTGAAAATGTTACTTTTCTTATTTTGTTTGTTGTCCACTTTTGATAAAGGAAATACTGCCTTTTGAAAATGATTGTGTTTTGTATAACTTAGATTCATCTAAACTTTAAAATGCAATATTTTCAACTTAAAAGAAAGTAATGTTAGTACCTCATATTTTACAGAGAACAGACTTAACTCTAGGAAAACTTACTAAAACCCATAGTTCAGAGTTCAGCAGTGGAAAGTCAGATAGTAAGTATAATCACGACTTTTATATTTCATATTGAAAATCCAAACAGAAATTTGGGTAAAAATTCAGAAAATTATGACCATAATAATAGAATAAAGTTCTCTAGCTCTCTACCTAACTGAACTTATCTTTTATAAGACACATTTATTCATGCTTACAGTTTTGTTTTTTCCCCATGACCCTTACTTTATCATTTCTTTATTGCTGTCATTCTTGACCTCTGTTTCTCTTTGGCTAGTTCTTATCCACTGCAGCAAACATGCTCACCCTTTCAGCCATGGGGGCACTATAATGTGACAGTCAATCCCACTATTCGTTGGTAAAAGAGTAGCCAAAAAGTTGGCAGTGGGTAGTGATGACTAGCTGCCTTCCCTCTAGTCTTACACTGCTGAATTAGGGATGGCTAACACAGATAGCCCTTGTGCAGCTTTGTGCAAAATTAAAAAAACAAACAAATTCATCCACTATCTAAATTTTATTTTTATTTTTGCAGTTCTCTGCTTTTCACAAGGAACACTATTCAGTTACATGTCTGTTATCCCTCCATAAATATATTTCTTCAATTAGATGTCTGTTTGTTTATAAGGATCTCCGAACAGACAATAGAGATCCAATTGAAAAGAGATCCTTGTGAGCACAAGAGTCTCACTTCACTTCACACTCTGTTTGTCCACAAAGTTCTATCTTTAGTTATGTATCTGGCTGTCCACAAGGATCTATTTTCAGTTGATTCTCTGCCTGTCTGTAATGATCTGTCCTCAGTTAAATGCAAGTTATATGTTGTTGTTTGTTTGTGTTCACAGTGTTGTATAACATTGACTTCATGTCCTATTGAGTATACAATTGCTTTAAAATGTCAGATTTATTTTCTAAATTAGCAAGTCTTCTATCTTTTCTGATACAATTAATTATTATTATTTTATAAATTATGTAATATAAAGTTATTGGGAGTATTGGAATAGGGCAGTTTGTAATTTTATGTGAATACAGTTTTTGTACCTAAAATGTTACAAATCATAAGATTTAAAACAATTATTATTTCTTATGTCATTTATTGTTGACAATTTCATATGCTTAACTTGTATTTAAGCCAGTTAACTTCCAGTCTGATGTACCTTAGTCAAGTGGCTTCCAGCTTGGTGTACCTTTGTCAGTTATCTTCCAGCCTGATATATCCTTAGCCAGTTGAATTTCAACCTAATGTACCTTGACCAATTAGTAAAGATCTAAGAACAGTTTGAATGGCCAACCAAACATTTAAACTATGGAGTTTTGTCATAGTTTATAACACATGGTATTTTTAATATTCTGTAAGACTTACCAGAAAGTACATTCAATTCTGAAAAGTATTTTGGCAGTAAGTTTTGTGAAATACATGCTGACTTTATTAATAACAATATATATTTTAGATAATTCTAAATAAAGAAGTAATAAAGAAACTGTGTTGTAGAATAACTTATTTATGTTTTATCATTTTATTGTTTATAGCACCATAATATGGCATGCCTAGTTGTAAAATTATGGTTTTTATGTTCTAATGAACGTTTATGAAAAACCAGAAAATTTAACACAAGGTGTTAGATCAGCTTCCTTTTTCTATAACTGTAGGAGTGAGTGCCCTTATAGTACCAAGGTTATAATACCAATCCACTTGATAATAAAAAAAAATTGTTTCAAAGTTCAAGTTCCATGGTTAGCATAAAACACTAACACGTGCCCATCAAGGTGCTTAACTTTACAAATAAACTACATCTGACAGAAAGTCTACTAACTTGCTAATGTCATATCTCTACTTCTTTGTCAAAACACAAGCTCAATATTCACAGCACTGAAGTAACTAACTGTTTGACAGTAACAAGCAATATGACGAAATCATGCACTGATTATGCATGAACTGATTAACTCAGTCATTCAGTACCTCACCACATCACTGACTGTCTGCATGACAAACTAACACTAGCCTAACTCAAGTTTTTTTAAATTGTCTTCTAAACTTTGGAGAAAGGCCACATCCATCATGTGACATTAAAACTTTCTTTAATTTTAATTCCCACTAAACAACAATGAAAATTTCTAGAATTGAATAGAATTGTTTAAATATGGTCTATTCTTTCATTGGGGGTGTGTCTGTGAGCCAAACTAGTTTTGGAGAATTCCACTTCTGATCAGTGACCCTGGACACTACCACCAATCACAGATCAAACCAAGCCTTTATAATAGTGAGGTATCAAAAATCGAAATGGTGTATTTAAGTGTTTTACACTCATAAAAAAGAAACCTATCATTCTATAGGTATTTGAAGAACTTTTAGCATTCCGCCACAATTTAATTCTTCAAACTGTTAGCCAACACTGGGCAGCTGGTACATAATTGAATAGAGTTGTTTAAACATTTGTTTAACAACAAGTAAAAGCTTGGAATGGTCTATTCTTTTACTGGAGGTGTGTCTGTGAGTCAAACTAGTTTTGGAGGATTCCACTCCCCATCAGTGACCCTGGACACTACCGCCAATGAAATATCAGACCAAACCAAGCCTTTATAGTAGTGAAGTATCAAAAATCGAAATGGTGTATTTAAATGTTTTACACTCACAAAAAAGAAACCTATCATTCTATAGGTATTTGAAGAATTAAATTGTGGCAGATTGCTACAAGTTCTTCAAATACCTGAATGATAGGTTTCTTTTTTGTGAATGTAAAACACTTAAATACACCATTTCAAATTTTCTAGAAATAAATTAGAAATACAGGTTACAATAATATTGTTGTTAGCTATATTTTTATTGTTTTAATTTAGAGGGAGCTCATCATTTCAATAATATCAAGAATCTAGTAATTTTGAACAGTATTTAGAGACTAGGATAAGAGTAACTAGTTAGTGATGAGTAGTGAGTAATAAATGAGAAGTTGGTAAGTATTCATAGAGTTTATAGGTTCAGTGTCAGTAGAGTTGTTAATAGTTCATAAGATTGATTACATCTGTTCAGTTACTCAAATGATTACTGAGGAAATTCTGTAAGTAGGTTTATTTGCGAGTTAGGCATACTTACCATTAATCAAGGAAATTTCTGTTAAATGTTATTAGTGTAGTATACTTACAGTAGTTACAGTATTCTCAATTGAAAAGTTTTGTATTTGTAGGGCTACAAGTGAAAGTGGCTGTAAAAACATTAATGAAGAAATAAATTAATTTATTATGTTACATTGACTGAATATAACTTTATTTTTACTGTATGATCCAGAAGAATCTGCCCAACAATAGAACAGTGTTACAATGATATGTTTGCTGGATTGTTTCTTGTAAGAATTTCCATTGGTGATAACTCCATATTGCATGCTTGTGTGTCAATAATACTGCATATGCAGGCCAGACTTACTTAATGAATCAATCAGTTTTTACTCTCTTTCTATAAACATTACAGATATGTGAAAAGGAGATAATCTCTAAAAGAAATATTTTATTTTGAATCTGATTAAATGCGTAAAGAAAATTAATAAATTACCTTTACAGTATTTTTGAAACAACCAAGCTAGAAATTTATATTAAATATTTGATTTTGCAGTTTCAACTACTTCAGAGCAAGATAGGCCATTTTTGGTAAGTATACTTTACTTTTTGTCTGAACTAAGATTAACTTGATTTTCCATAAAGAAATATATTAAACTTTGATATCTGATGTCCTTCACATAACTAAGCAAGAAATAGTTATTCCCTAACATTGGTACTCCGTGATTTCTTGAAATACTTTTTTGATATATAAGAAATGCTATTGTGTTGTACATCTAGTTACAGTTTAGCATGACCCAGTAGTTAAAGGGCAAATTTTGGATCTGAGGTTCCATGGTTCATATCCTGTTACTACTAAAGGGATCATACTCTGCACTTTGGGACTAAGGGTGCATTATAGAATGACTGTGAAATCCAACTACTTGGTCTGAAAAGAATAGCGCAAGAAATGTCAATGAATGGTGTTGTTCATTAAATGCCTTTACTCTAGTCTACTAATTCAATAATAAAGATAGATAGATAGTGCAGATAGCCCTCATGTAGCTTTGTTCAAAATTCAAAATTATACTATTTTTGCCCTTGATGTTTTAGTTGTCAACTTAAAATTCTCCTTTCCTAGTTGCTAATTGGATGTTATTTAGCAGGTTTTCAACTGGATTTTTCTGGGAAAATGACAGAGGATTCCTAAATTTGTAGAGGAATAAAACAGTACAAACGTGATATATTTATTTGCACATAATTTTCTAAGTTGAACACAATAACTGATTAAATTTCATGTCCTCTCATTTATAAAATATTTATAAAAACAGAAGTTTATGTCATAATTATGAATCATCAACAACTCTTTAACCCTAAGTTCATAGGTGGGGGTCAAAGTTTACATGTCCTGAATTTATACAGAGTGCCATTCAACATGATATAATACAAATTGCAAATGATATGAAGGACAAAAGTCTTTTTATTCTTTACATGAACATCACCTTTCATTCCGACTTATCTGAGTCAGAGTGATGTTGGCATTTCACAAACATATCTCTAGTACAAAAAAAATGAGCAACAAATCTAATTTGTTGTGTACAACAGACTTTTACTGTTGTGTAAAAGCTTGTGACATTTTGTGAAGATAACTATAGTTAACATTACTTTTCCAATACTGATTCAATCCAATGTACTGACTCAGTGCACATTCAATTAAATAAATATTTCAAGTTAAGCTTTTCTCATGTTATTAATTTGTAGATTACAGAACTATAGATTTAGTTAACTGAATAAGAGTACAGATTTTTGAATGTCAATTTCACAGTTGATTCAAACTGTCACTCATAATTTCTTGTATAAACTTTTTCATAGTTAGGCTTAGGTAATAACATTAACAGATGAATTGGGTAAAAAAACATCATAAAATTTTAATATATAGTTTTAAATATAATAAGGAAAACTAATGTGAAAAATAGAAAACCATATAAAAACAATAATGTATGAGAAATTGGTAACACAACTTTATAAATCTGAGGTTTTAAACTGATTGTCAGCATAAAAGAACATTTTTAATTCAAGAATGTCAGCCATTTAATAATATTTACTCTATTTATATATATATATATATCTGTGTGTGTGTGTGTATATATATAAAAATATATGTATATGACAGAATAGGAAATTTTACAGTCACTGCCAGCTCCTATATCTCAAAGAAGTCTCCTTATTCATATCTTAATTTATTTTCCAAAACAAATTAATAAATAATGAAATAATATTTGTATTAAATTTCATATTCTATTTTGGTGCTACAACAAAGTTTGAGGTTATTTTCCCCCAGAGACAGATCTACCAATGGTGAAGTGGGAGGCAGTTCTACAATGAAGAACTCTGCCCCCACTCCCACCCCAGCAGCCTCCCATCTCAGATATAATCCTTTAAGATTTTTCAATTATCTACAATGTGACTCTCACCAACATAAAACTGTAAATTTGTTTCTGACCCCTCTCCCCTCCCAATAACTCTTTGGCCCTGTTATGTCTCTCAAATAAAATATCCTAGAAATCTACTGTTGTTCCCTGATATACTTTCAACTTTTGTTATCATACTCATGTTGGAAAATTTACTTTATTTTTTAGTTAAGTTCAGTGATTAATTACCTACTCAGGCCCATATAGATATATTTTCACTGATGAACATAATCATTAACCAAAGAAAATGAGGTAAAGAATAAAAACTAACTCATGTCAAGCTGTCTTATCACAACAATAAAACTTTGTGGTAGTTCAGATAATCTAGCTCTCAGTCACTCAGTTGCTGCATAAAATCATGGGCATAGGGTGATATTATTACAGATGAAATAAAAGAAAGAAAATATTGTTGAAAATAAAAATATAATGTTTTGTTAAGAGAAAACAGAAGAATGGCTTATTGAAATTCTGATTGCCTATTGTAACTGGACTATTGCTTTGGAAACTATAAAAAGTTAAACAAACTGTATCTAAAATTAAAGTATCTTAAATGAAATTTAACTTCAAAGTAACCTAAAATTAAAATAAAATGTGCATGATCAGCAGGTAAGAAAGAATATAGCAAAAGAAGGATTGAGTTTTGTCAATGAGTCTTGGTGCTCTCATTATATTAAACAAACTCTTCCTCAAAAATTGAAATGAATATCTCTTGGAAGTGACAAAACTGCATTCATGACACACATTCTTCCAGTAATTGATCAATCAGAAAAAGTGTACCAGAATGCAGAAATATATGCTCAATTTGACAGTTTAAAGATATCACCTGTACACAAAATCCATGAAACAGTACATATGTTCCTTGACTGGACAAGCTACAAAAAGTAACACCTTAGGCTTAATTAAACATACGATCTCAAATGTTGTTCCAAACCTGAACTTAAGAAAGTTAGAAATTGTATAGATAAGGCAATATACCATGAAAAAGTAAGTTATGTTGTGTTTGCATACTACAGCTCTCTTTCTTGTTTCAGGCTTATCCTTAAGTCAGCTACAATTTAACTCTGTTCATCATCGTGTGCCATCTTCCTCAGGAAGGGTGGCTGTCACAATCCTCCACTTGTCTGTTCTGTGCTTTTCTCACCAGGTCTTCATATTTTACTATCTCAGTCCACTCTTTAATGTTTGTTATCCACTCTGTTCTTGGTCTTCCCCTGTATCTTTTCCCTTTAATTTGACCCTCTAATAGGACCTGATGGATGTTGTCTCATCTCATCATATGGCCATAATATGCTACTTTTATCTTCTTGATGGTTGGTACAGCATATCTTTTCACACTCACCATACTGGGAACTTCTTCATTCATTACCTTGTCTATCCAGGATATTTTCCAGGCAAATTGGCCAGAGTAGAACTACTATTTGAATCCTTAAACAACACATTTCATCTGTTGTTCACTGGTGTTATCATGGGGAAGACTTGGACAGAGATAGGTTGTTTCATATCCATGAGGGGAGGGGGGCAGGAACTGGATGGTAGCCAGTCTGTATAAACTGTTGATGAAAAAGAAAATAAACTGTGGAGCTAAGCACACTGGAAAATTTGAACTGAATCATTCACTGTTCAAAAAAAGAGTGATGATTTCAACTGTAACACATCAAATAAAGCAATGAGATCCGACGGGTTAACCTATCCTGAGATGGGACAGAAGCGCAGGTTTCACTATAAGATGGTGAAGGTGAAACCAACATTTCAATTATACATTAAAGTTTCATGTACTATCAACTATCAGTATACAGATAGCTGAATGTGTGTTTCACATTTACTGTCTAAAATTGAGTATATTCTGCTATAGCAATCTGCATTCTTCTACACTGCACTAAAGCAATGCCTGGCTACCTATACGTTTGCTGACATATAGTACCTGAGTGCTGTCGTCCTTGTAGACAGATTGTGAGAACAGCACTCCACATGAGATTTTAGCCGAGTAACACAAGAAAATGAAACAAAAGTACAATTGCAGCCCTGTATCTAGCAGTCAACAATGGAATTGCTGCATCAAAACTCTTATGGAACATATTTTATATGGAATACAACATCACCTATATTGTTACCTGACCTGGAAACTATAAGAGTTGCTAATTTCTTTTCCTTGACCCTAGGGTTCTAAAACAGTGACCAGTGCTCTAGCTGCCTTTATTACTTTCACACCTATGTGTTTATGACTGAAAGGAAAACTCAGAACTTTAAACTAAGTTAAGCTCTATGCCTTTTGCCACATAGTATGAGAAAGTAGCTATTTCTTCAGTCTGGAAATATTCATAAGTTTCCAAACATTTACAGAAAAGTAAAACTGGTGTATCTAAGTTGTACTCATTTTCCATCTCTGTACACTAACGATTGAATTTGTCTATCCATGCAGACCTTGCCCTGTACAGAAGACACAGCTATGCAAATAACAAAGATTCACTCTATATTTCAAAAAAGATGTGGAAAAACTATTATTTATTTAAGTTGCTCTTTCTGTGTATTATTCTTCTATTCTCTCAGCCTTAGGTTTTCAAACTGACATGCATTTTGAAAATACTGTAATTTCAAAAGGTTTTTGCTATACCATAGTATGCATGTGCAAGTATGCCTACAACATACTAACACATAGATTTTGATTAGTAGGAGATTCAAACACAATTGAGCACTTTCATTGCAATTCTTATAAAAGTAGAAGTGTTTGCCATACCCTATTGCCATCTATAGGTATACATACAAAATATATGTAAACAATTCAGTACAGAACATATTTTCAATAGGATAAAAACAGCAAATAAATATTGCATTCTTTAATTAGTTTTTCTAGAGGAAAATCAAGGTAGTTTATTTACTACTGTGGAAGATGGAAACAATGCTTCACATTGTTGTCTGTCACTTTCTATTTTCAATGTACATGTATGACAATTTTCCACATATGAATTCACTCTTTCAGAATTTGCACACTTGGCCTTCATTTTATATGTACAACCATTTCACCATATGTAAGAATATTTCCTTCTTCTTTAAGAATGTCATATGTGTTTCATGTGTAAAATCAGAACAAAAGGTCTCCATGTATGTGTTGAAGGTATGTTCATTAAAACTTATGAATGTAGT